ATAAATATACCATAATACTACCATGTACTATAATTGTACCATCTATTTTTAATAAGGAAAAAAGTGAAATATTACTAATTTATTCTAAAAAATAAAATTGGGACAGTTCTCGCTCCCTCTTACTTGTGATTCATGTATCTCACATCTCTCGAGCGTGCGAGATAAACAGAAACGTTCTGAATTTATTTGAAGTGTGTAGTTTTAGTTGTAGGTTCCAGTAGTTTTATAGCGTAAATTCATATAAAAGCATATACATCTACGAAATGTACCATAGTTTTGAACATTCCCATCGTACCATATTTTTATGTTTCCCATTCCACAATCCATATTACATCTGGCAACCCTGTTCACTAAACATATAGCATCGACTTCCCAAAAATTGTCTTTATCCACTTACTTCCTGCACATCTATCGATACCCTAGAATTTAGAATTTGATTTTTTTCTTGCACATGCATGTCAAGGTTTCTAAGTAAACAAACCTTATCAATATTTCCCGAAGAAAAATTACGAGCATATTCTGACTTTCTCTTAGCAAATCACTTCACGTGTGATGTTAAACAGATACTTAAACACTATGCTTGGAAGTATGACACCATCTTCGGGCATGTTGCAATGAACCGAAGTTGCAAAACTCGATCATAAATCAACACACTTTCACTCCATGATGGTCTCAATACACGCGAGCATTCTTAGAATACATAAAAGGTTATGATTCCGGTAAATATGAGTGTAACGGCCAGTTTTAACAAAACTGACTGTAGGCATATTTTAACAATGTTTGTCTTGTTCCATTCAGCTAGTACTTCTCGTAAAATTTTCATTAATTACATTCATAAAAGTCGAACCCTTTCGCATAAATGAACATGCAATTTCATATTCCGTAATAGTGAGAAAATACATTTATAGGATCCGTCCCTAAAGGCGGCTCCACACATGCGGCATTCGGCGAATCCCGAGCAACCGCTCACCCAATCCTAAGTAGTGTGAACGAGTTGCTCGCTATTCCCCGAGCGCCAAACACTCGGTATTCGCCATATCCACCGCGTGTCCGTCTTTAGGACACATCAAAGGGAGCCAACTTTCGCCGAACACATCGGGATTGGGCGAGCAGCAGCTCGCAACTGCGCGAATGCAGAATGTGTGGAGTCGCCTCACCGCAAATTTTGACCGAACATTTCCCAAAACGAATAAAAAACTAGTTAAAACTGATAGCGTGATGCGTAGTAAAGTAGTGAGCGTTAATGTATGTTACCAACCTCCCAAAATCATAAACTACAAATTTGTTGCTAGGTATAATACAATTCCTAAATAAAGCATACAAGTTAGGCCCAATAAAGGCTTAAAAATACTATCATTGTACGTAGAGCTTCTTCTTATTCATAAACTATCCAAATATTTCCAGAAAAAAAATTGCCTCAATAATTCCGACCTCAAATGTTTAATTAAGGTGTTATTATCGAGTACAGACACATTACATATTATACCGTATAATTAGGCACGAAAAATGTAAATGTATCCACAAACGAAATAGCTAGCCTTTTCCCTATTGTATTTTATTTAATTCTTTAACTTTTGAAAGTCAAATAGCTCGCCACGTGCTGTGCTACCAAACATCTCCATTCGCCAACGCAAGATATTTTCACCAAAACTGCACGACGACAGAGGACAAAAATCCATTTTTAAACCAATCTAATAATAGATTTGTAAAGCTGAGCTAAGTGCGTGGAAAACGAAAGAAAAACATTAAACGGAAGCAAATCCGCGCGTTTAAGCATTTAAATCCATATGCACGTGCCCGTTGCGCAAGGTACTGATTTGGAGAATTCTGCGCATGTCGTCGTCGCCCGCTCCTCTTTCCCCTCCGCACAAACCCATCTGCCTCTGATGCCTCCTGCTCGCCTGCTCGACGCGCCGGCGCACAGTGGGTTTGCAATGAATAAAAAGAAAAAAATACAAATAAGCATTTATCTTCTTCACAAAAGTTTTTTTATCAAGGTTTAATTATAAAAACAGGTACTAGTGGTAATTATAAAGCCAACTTACAAAAAAAAAAATGGATTGATTAGCGGACAAATATCTGATCTGCAACAACATTCTGCAAGTGTTACTGCAACAGTCTATACTTCAAAACTCTTTGTGAATCAGTTTTGAAATATTTAAACCTTAAAACTATGTTCTAGTAGAGACATCTTGTTAAAGTCAACGTCCAATTTCCATAAAATATGAGAAATTGAATACGATAAAAAGCTAACTATGCCCTCGTACACGTAAAAGGGCGCAAAGCAGGTTTATTGTTAAACCTTTCCCTACATAGCAATGTTTTCTAGTTAGAGTAATTATTATTCCAAAGAATGTCTAAACTTGGGAGTACCAACATATTAGTAAATAAATAAAATAAAATTGAAGTTTTAGGTGGCTGATATTTACTATGATTTCTGGGCAAGGTTTTAGTTTTCTTGAGATACCCCTTTCAAGCTTAGCAGGGCACAACATTGGTCACCGTACAAGAACGCGTAAGCACAACATAGTGTAACGAATACAGACACCGCCAGTTACATGTGAAACAATGTTTGACAGATCCGTGTATTAAAAAAATCTCCCAATTCTACCCAAACCCTAAGCTGATAAAAAAATGTTTTAAATAAATATTCTAGAGCAGCATATCTGAAATGCAACATCTTTTACAGTAACAAGAAAAAGTACTTAGTATTGGCACTTTATCAAGAATAAAAGAAAAAACACACCCCCTCTCTACCGAAAATCCACAAGCAAACTAGTTCCGCTAGACGCACAGCAGCATTTCTTCCGCCGAAAATGGCATCCCTGCGGAACACCAAGCGCGCTCTGCATCCCATTCTACCGCCCACTGTGCGACGCTACAGGAGGCAGCTGCCGCCGGCCACACGTGGCGAACGCGCGGTCGGGCAGCCGGCCGGCGACGCCGCGCCACCACACGCGTGGCTGCTGCCGCCGCCTCCGCGCGCCAGGTGAGGTACGCCCGCCTTATTTTAGCCCCGACCCGACAGCCCTTCGGCTGACCCACCCGGCTCTCTCGCTCGCCCACCCCTGCTTTCCAACCCTCCTGCTAGAGGGGAGGGGGCGGCAACAACAGCAGGAGACTGAGCCATCGCCCTGGACCATCACAAACAACGATCTCCACGAATGTTTACGTTCTCATGGAGGTAAATCACACGTAATGCTGAAAACATTGATATCGAGGGTTTTGGCAGAAATTCATACTTATATTTGGTGTTCTTTTCCTTCTTTTTAGGGGAAAGGGGGTTTTCTTTTAACGTTCGTTCGGTCATATCCATAAACACTTCAGCCAAAATCGAACAATATACGTTCATCAAAATGAATTTTTTCTGCATCGATCTGGTTGATGTAGCGGAATTTGCACCACAATATTAATATCTACGGAACTTCACATGAAGTCACTATTTTCTTCAAATTTATCACTTCAGTCAGCTTCAGTGATTGAATCCACGGTTTCAGTGATCTCAACTATTATAAAAGCGAAATATCAAACGGAAGTCGTTTGATTCTTTCGGAGCAAACCATATTCCTTCTCTTGCAAAATGTTTAGTTTGTAAACTACTATTCATCGTTAATACAAATTTTAAACTAGTGTTCTTATTAATTTAATTACTTGTCTATCCTCCAAGAAATAATTTTAAACAAGTTAACAAGTACGCTCTAGTAATTTGAATAACGTTATCGTTCCAACTTAGTTTTATAACACCAAGAATAATTCCGGCGAGTAATGCGGTCGTAAATATGCGAAATTCCGCTAATACAAAATGCTACCACCTGCAAATGCGTAATGTTTCCCAATTTTCGGGTTTGACAACGCACGCAAGAACAGTGTGCCTGAACTGTCACAAAACAGAGAGCGAGAGTTTAACCCACGATTACATTAATTAAAATGTTTGTTCCAACAGATGTTAAGGAATAAATATAATGTATTCGCCTAGTTTACTTCTATTAATAAGTAATAAAAACAAGGTTATAAACTGAATAAGTTTAACCATAAAATGCGCTGTAAACAATCACAACTACATTCTCGGAAAGTGGATCTTCATTTTGTCTCCCACTGCTGTCCACCCCAGATAACGTTCGATGATGAACGACGGGGGTGTGGTTTGGAGATTAGGCGTTACTGCGCACGCGATATCCATTCCGTGCACGATCGACGCCCAGGGAAAGTCAAGAGAAAATGCAAGCTACCTCGTGATGTTCATCTCGCGCCGAAAACCAACGCAGATTTGCCCTTCCTCGACAATCCATTTCAGCTTTGATTCAAACAAGCGAATTAAGATTATAAAATGCGTAGTATAACAATTTCAGATGAACCCGACGGAAAATTAATTACTTTCCGTTTAAAAATTACCCATGTTTCTCGAGCCAGCAAAATCCTGCATTTCTATACAATGCTGAACATTCTTGAAAACTAAAAAATCTCTTGCCAACATAGTTGCACTGGTAAGGTATTGGTAAGTAAAAATTCAATACATGATTATTAGTAGTCTAAAAAAACCACTATAACAAAAGTGCACAATGTGCACGGAAAATAGTTGCACGTAGGTCAATTTTTTAGTACGTGTTACTACTTCATTCCTGCCAGTACAAGCATGCCAACTTCAATACACTAACAGCCCACATTACGCACATGAGCCACATACAGCTGAATACCACTTAGTTATAGTTATTCCAACATTCGGCACAAAAACAAACTATTGAATATTACACAGCACTCCTCAATTTATGAAAATAAGAATTAAAAATTATCCCCGACGTTTTCTACCAAAGACGCGTGGCAATCTCAATCGAGCTGCAGTCCCCACCACACACCTAAGTTCATTTCCAGCAACCACTACAGAACATTAAACCTATAAGCGCCAGAAATCCCCATATGGACCGGCTGCAAAATACTAATTATTGTGGACGTTTTCGTCGGAGATAGCGTGCCATAAAAATACCATGTTCTCAAATTATTTGGTACGCTTCGCAGAAAATATAATACTGTATTTATACAGACGCACACAATATAAGCCCGGAGTGAATAACATTACGAAAATCGTATCAGAAATAAAAGGTGAACCACAGGTCGCCCTTCAGCATTAAAACACGAAATGTTGGTAACACTTAAAGGGTGAATGACCTTCAAAAACGAGTTTCAGATACACGCCCACCAAATCGGCCCTTTTGTTGATGCTGCTTTGATCCACGAGAATAACTATCAGAACACAAACAGGAAAATTTGGACCTGCACATCGATTCATTATTCATATGACACACAAACGTCAGAGAATTAATGTAATTAATGTAGACTCTCGGGTAAATAATACAAAATGACTATGCTACAAAGAGCGAATGCGAGAAACTAAGAAGTAAACTTTGTAAAAGCAATCCCGCGCGAGATTATTTTAAGTTCATGACCCACTTTCTGAATTCTAAAATACGCATGACGTCAGTAACATAAACAAATCTCAAAAACATTTTCACTTTTCTTCTAAACTGTCAAATAATCCGATTATCGTTCAACCACGTATTGCAAAAGTAAACAATGTGGATCAACAGCTATAACAAGTCCAAAATAGAAATATGAATGACATTACACCATCTCCGGTAAAAGCACAAACTTCATGTTTACAAGGTGCTGACCTCGAAGTGACGTCACCTCTTTGGAACGACGCCGGCGTGACGCAATACACACTTTGCATCTTAACGTTCATATAAGTGTAAGGCAAGTTTTATAATATGCACTTTTACTACTCAACATAAAGTAAATACAACTATTTAGTTTACATTGTATATTTTTCAAGCAACAGGCACGTACATTCACAGATATGTCAATCTAAAAAACTAACCTATCCCTGCGCAATATAATGAAAATGTAAAGTGAAAACCCTCCGATTTCGTTAATACATAAAGTATTCTCAAATGTGTAATGACAAGATACAACATTTGGCGTCATACCATGATTACACAAATAGTATGACAGCAAGCAAACTTAACATGCAGTGGTAAATACATTACGATCAATATGAACGCGAGGGCATTCAAAACAGAAAATACAACAAAATTCAAAAATATATCGGATTTACTTACTTGGTCCTTAGAACTTCATTATCGTCCATTAACCGCTTGCAATCTATTTCCAATTTCGCTTTTTCTCTGGCCGTTTCATCAAGAACTTTTCTTGCATCTGCCAATTCATTCTCAAACATAGACTTGAGATTTGTCACTTCCCTTGTAACTTTCTCTTCTGAACATTGGACTTCTCGTCTCAAAGTACTGTTTTCTTGTTCCAAATGCCTTACTTTATCAATGTAAGCAGCCAAACGATCATTCAAATTTTGAAGATCTGCCTTTTCCTGAAGCCGGCTGTACCGGGTAGGGCTCAACGGACTTGATGGACGTCCTGATGAACTTCCCTGCGCGGGTGTTGATGTATATTGTGGAGTGCCAACGTTCGAAGACGTCGACGCTGCAGTCTTTTTCGACGTTCTCGTGCTGGTCGCCATTCTGCTTCAAACTCGGATAGTATCAGCAAGCCTCAACACAAAACACTCCACACGCTGCACACCACCGCACCTTGCAAAATGGCTAATGCTCTCCTCTCGCCGGAGTATGATTCTCGCCGTTCGCTTGTACCACGTGATCATGACGTCATGAACGCCGCCTCCACCGCCACCAGAGCGCGTTCACAAAACCTCGCTTTCGTATCACCGCATGCCTTCCAGGAATACGAAGATAACAATGAAGTCATCTTATTGTATTTTCTATCTTGGCATATAGCAATCCTTTAAACTTATTAGAAGGCATGCACTATATAATTTCCTTCGAATATCATTCATTCTGTCTTTCTTTTTATTCTGCAAATTATGACGTAAAGATGTCATACTGCATTACTATTGCATAAATTAATTACATTACTTTATAAATTAATGATATTACTTTACACCAAAGGTAAATTTGAGTGAATACACTTTTCTAATGGCATATATTTTAATGTTCTCACAATAAGCAAATATACAACACTGGCAAAAATATGCAATGTTGCTAAAACAACTCGACACATAAATAGGTCCCAGTCCCAAGCACAGCCAACAATGTTAAATGTAAATGAATTCCATCCACAGGTTTACATTTAGATGTTATATATACAATTGCCTTTCAGAAAGACATCATATCCAAAATAGGAAACTGTCATGTTCTATGAGAAATTACAAATATTTGCATAATGGATAAATGTTTATTACTTACAGAAACTCTTGCAACTTTTCAATAAACTCTTTGACTTCACAATGATTGTAATAAAGAAGTTTAACTGGACCATGCAAAGAAGCCAGTAGCGACAATTTTGTATCACACAACACAGACAAGAGTACACATAATGACAAAGAAGATGTATGCAACAATGAGATTCACTGTACAATAAAAAATTACACAAAGGAAACAATCACCATCAACTATACTTAATTATAATTCTTAAGTCCTCAAAACAACATTTCTAGAAAAACATACATAGGTAAAAAAGTACATTTGTGTTCTGGACAGAGGAAACTGCATAAAAAAATTCTTTGGTACAAATAATGTACTCTTTTTCATATTCTCTATATTCTAAATTTATCTTGTACCTGAACAATACGACAAAATATACATGAGATTATATCATTTAGGAAACAAAACAATCTGCTGACAAATTATCCATAAAAATCTATTCTAATACACAGACAAGCCCTGGGTCTGAAAATTGATCCTCACCACAAACTAAAATGAGGAGATTCGTAATAAATTGCAAATTAAAGTCAAAGCATGGAACTTCTGCAGTGTGCTGAATAAATAACCTGTGAAACTATACTCATATTCAAGGCACACCAAAACATATTCTTTGAACAACGAAGCATTGTTACATTGCTTTGCACATTTTTATCCAAGGCAAGGCACACTGCCACCCACATACATTCGTGAATATTTCTTTCACAACTCATTACTTTTCAAATAACCTAAATTATACAAACAGTCTGTAAACACCCTTAAGAAAATATTTTACATTGATTCAAAAACCAATATATCATTCCAAAATATGGTAGAATTTATTCACTGTGCACAAATGTACTCAGTTTCACTAAATTTGCTTAGCTTCATGTAAATATCTTCCTACAGTACTTATCAATTTTGCAACATTACTCCTTGATGCAGATAGATTATAAACCAGCTAAATTACACTTCCGACTGTCAGGTAATATACGACATCAAACTGAATATCAATCGGAAGCAATTCTGATAATTTTAGAGACAAATGGAAGGTATAAATATGGAAGATACATTGTATAATACTAGGTATCATCTACAAAAGTAAATGAATATTAAGTGGAGTTCAACATGTCTAGCACAAAGAAAACAGAACTAACTTCTCAATTAAAAGGGCATATCCAATAACTTTTTTTTAATGTTTTTTTATGCAGCTTTGTTAAAGTTTATTCAAACAAACATTCAGAGGGAGGAGCATCCTTAATGTCAGTCTCCTCCTCTTTGGTATTTTGATTTCAATTAATAACATACCCACTGATCTCACTGACAACGAAGTTTCTCAAATACTAAAGAATTGTACCAATTTTCACAAATTTCAAAGGTACCAAGATTAATGACAACAGAATAAAATACCTGGAAGACATAAATTGACAAACATATTATCACAATAACACACATTAGGTAATGGAGGATACACATTTTGCAAGTACTAAGTAGTACATATGAGCAATCATCAGCTCACCATTTTCAGCAAACAATTATTGTAACTATACATATTGGAACACTTAAGACAGATTTAGTATAACAAAAATGTAGAGCAAATATATTTAGAAGCTTGGTCAACTGCAAAGCAACATTTACTAATTTACAGTAACTGAGCACAATTGAAGCACTTGGCAAGAAAATTTACTATGAAACTATTTTGAGAATTGTAATTCTATCTAACATCAGAGAAAATGAATTTTGAGTTCACAGTTTTAAATGTATGTACTAATTTTTTTTCATTCATATTATATACTTTCTCAAATTGATGATCATCACTGAAAAAATTCATAGCTGACCCTCAAGTTTTGCAGTCTTACCCTACAGTGGAATATAAGAACAGACTGATAATTCACTGGAGTTTTCTTGAAACTAACTACAATAATTTGGAATGATATACATACATATTCTGATGAATGCAATGGTGAATTCATTAGAATGTCTGGCGATGTTGCATATATACTGCATATATGAATATAGAGATATATCAATATTACTGTACATACACAAAACTTAAAGAGATTGATTTCAAAAAATTGTAAAAACTAGGTTCATAGCTTTATGTTTTAACATAAATATTTTCCACATTTAACTGTCGTAGAAAAACTATCCACTTCCGTTGGTCAGAAACTGGAGCACACTGGTTACAATTATAAGCTTTCTCAAAACAGAATGGGTTTGTCCTTGCACTGGTCTATAACGTAGGCCGTGAAGCGTTTCAGGAACTTGGGATACTCTCTCTTGTAGACAGCTCGAAGCACAGAGGCAGGGGCCCAACCACCAGGGTTGACTGCAAAATAAAATATTGAAGTAGCACCAGTATCATATTTCAATTGCTCTATTCTCTAATGTATTAAAAAAAAATAATTATCTTCAATAAAGCAGTTGTAGGAGAAGTCCACAAACTTTATCTGGACCGTAATATCTCTGTACCGTAATATCAGTATAACATGCATGATAAATGTATATTGGTCTATTAGAGCAAAAATTATAACAAACGTTTGAAGTATATAAGGTCCCTTGCACGTAATTAATTAGAGAGTAATTAGAAATTAACGTAGACGATATATGAGATATCTGCGTGTCAAAATACAAAACAACACAAGAAAATTGAAGAAACGTGAAATTGGGGAAGAACTTGGACTACCAAAATAGTTTCCCCACACCTAAATCAACAAAAATAAAGTTGCTATAAGGTGCTTTTTAATGATAGTCTAAGAAACCAAGGGGCATTGTATACTCATTATCTAGAGACATCAAGAAAAATTTAGATACAATTTTTACAACATTTTGAACTATTTTTGATAAAATTTAAAAAATGTCTTTGAGGGTTTCTTATAAAGTACCCCTAAAAATTAATATATCCACTTCTAATTGAAGGAGCCACAACATCAATGAGATTGTTCACAGACTATTGATTTTGGTAAAGATCCTGAGAATGGTTTAAATGTTAGTGTACTTCATGAAGAGATGCAATACCGAAAACCACTTTTATGGTATTAACAAACCACAAGATATAGATTCTGACTACAATATGTATTGGAGGAAGTAATTTACAACACATAGCGAGCATAATCCATAGAACTCCCAAAATGAGATTTTCAGTCAAAAAGTGGTATTTTTTCCCTGCAACATTACAATATATTCTCTGTACTACATTGTAAGTAATATTAAAAGGACATTAAAAGCAACTGAGGATTTAGTCATCCAACATACTACCACATTAGATACAATTATGTATTCAAAGTACTCCTGAAATTGACTGCAATTTACTCAGATTGCAGAGTAATGAGGGACACAGAAAAGCAAGAGTATGGAAACGCAAAGATATCAGCTTGACAAAAAAATACAGATCAGTCTACAAAATCATTCACAAAGAAACATTAAATTGAGAACTGTGAACTTTCAGAATGCCCAGAGGCAAGTGAAATTAATAGCTGATGAATGGCATGTTAAAGACAAAAGCCATAAAGAATCCCAGTGACAGCTAAAATAAATAATTTTGACAGAAATTGAGCTAAATATCTTTTTAGAAAGGAAAATGCCAAGTTAGGGGCTGTTTTTTTTAATGCAATATCATACAAAGGAAGCACAATTGCTGAGAACAAATATTTTTCTTTCTTTAAAGGTGAATTGAAGAAGACCAGGTAAGTGACAAGATAAAATCAAGGAAATAATAAACAGGACAGAAGTGGAACTAAAAATAGCCTTTCAAAACTGGAATATTTTGAAGAGCATGATTCACTAAATGAAACAGTCAAACCCAGCTGAACAACTAAGAGTAAACAGTTTCAAAGTAAATCTTCCAATAAAGTTTACTCGTAATTTGTTGAATTTTGAATTTTTAACAAATTCATAATGTAAAAGTAACAGAAAATTACTATTTCCATGCGATGGAGTTCAGAAATTATATATTAAAATAAACAGATTTTTATGAAGAATTCAAATGTGAATGGTTTAGGTGAAAAAAAAATTCTTGTAAAATAATTTACTGCAACAGAATTCTTTTTTTTTTCAACTGATGACTAAGTAGTAAGTATTTTGTGTTTACTACCAAATTAAAACATCTCAAATGACAAATTTGATAAGTATGAAAGTATTTAAATACCCCTGATAAGATGTTACAGTTCAAGACTAAAATTAAGATATTAAATGAGACCAATTTCAGAACTTGCAAAACCAAGAGTATCTTGAACAGAGGCATATTTTCAAACCAAATAATATGAACAGTCATGTGCTGTCAAATATGGACAATTAAAGAATGACTCATAAATATTAGCAAATGGAAATAAAGAAATTCAGCACAACCCATTTGTGAAATACAAATTTAATGATCACTAACTTAAAGAAGGATGATTCACAAATCTAAATTATACACTTGTTATCAAAAAAATGTGGACTCATTAAAAAAAAGATTTTTGTCTACAAATTTTATTAATATATAAACAAATGTACCTCTGGAAAAATTAATTTCCTCTAATTACCACATCATAATAATGCATGTACTATTCATTATGGTGATTATTGTTTGGCAGTTAGAATTTGTTTTCGTCTTCCCCTCATATTATATTTAAAATGAGAAATAATACAAGTACAGAATTCTAATTCTGAGAATATTAATAATTTTAATTGAGAAAATTAATAATTTTTAGAATTGTGCAATCCATTATTAACAATGAAAATTGAACAAAAACAATCAAATTAATCACAAAATATTCACAATTGTTTTTAACTAATTGTATATAAATTGTTTTGTAGAATCTTTATTTATTAAAAGCTCTTCATGGTTAACAAAACAAAGCACCACCTTTGTGCAAAGAAGTATTTTTTATGCACATTGACATCACATATTTTGGAAGTCTTAAGAAAAGATTTAACTTCCCTCATACACATAATGGAAAGTAAAATCCCTTATTTTTATACAATCATAGAAAAATCAATTTTAAATCCAATTTAATTTTAAAGAATAAAACCAGGCAGACCACAATATAAGAAGTTAAACTACTCACCTACTGAACAATAGGTTATTTTACAAGTGATATTATCACGAGTAATTTGAGATCCTTCTTTAGGTGGATCTATAAAAGTCTGGCAGACTAGACATATAGTGAGGTACACTCGAACACACTTCCCAATATTTGCCTGAAATTAAAGATTGACTATTTACGAACAGCCATTGCAGCCATCCCACAAAAAATCAAGTCTTCATATACTCCAAAATTAAATTATGGATGCAACATTATTACAAATCTACATTTACATTATTCACATTTAATATGTTATTTTTTTAAGTCTATCATAATATATACCTTTCACATGTAATAAAAAAAAAAAAAAAAAAAAAAAAAAACAGAATGAATTTATTGACTATAAACACCCTACAAAGTTTCTTCATTGTTTCTCAATGTTCTCAAATTCAACAACGAAAACATTTCGAAACTTCTCTTTCAAATAAAATTGAATAAGTCATAATTGCGGAATGAAAATGATCTATTTTTATTCTCACAATCTTTACAAGATTTAAGTCTTCAATTTATTAAAAATCAGAAGTAAAGGCTTTCAGAATATGATGTAAATACTTTTTAAGATGAAAGAAATATGTAGATTGATAAGAAGGGAGTAGCATTGACAAAAAATAAAGAACCAAAGAAAAATATTAATGAAAATACTATTTATAACTTTTAAACTTTAAGTGGAGCTATAAAGGAAAGCCTGTAAATTTGTTTCACTACTAGTGACATGCAGCAGCAAAAAAATGCAGCTCAGCAAACCACACAAAATGAATTTCCAAAATGTAGCATGGCCACAAATGAAAAACAAATAAAATATTCTTATGTAACATTACATTAATTATCAATAATTAAATTTTAAATGAATTCAGTAATAACATAGTACAGGATACACAGAAAAACATTCTTTACCTATCAAGAATACAAGATAAGTTGATGTTTCATAAAGCAACAGGTGAATAGCAAAAATTTTATTGCTGGAGCTCTCTTTTTCGGAGCCTTTCTGTCTAATGATGGCAGGTATGTTGTAAACAATGAACCACTGAGTATGAGCATTCAATCAGTACACTATTAAAATGGGCAGAATAGCACAATCAAACATTTGCATTTTATGTAAAAGTTGAAACTTTCATTGTTTTTGAATTTTTTTCAAGCTTCTGGGTATCTCATGACAGACACCTCTCACACGGCTGGAGGCTGTCTCGTTACCCTTTAATTAATATTAATATTAATATATATATATATATATATATGTATTCTATAGTAATAATAACTACAAATTAATAATGATGGTAACTGCCAACGTAAATCTCTCCTGAATAAATGTTGCTGATAGAGGTTACAAAACAAGTTTAAAAAAAAACATCAATGTTGAAAAAAACTGACATTTTTGAGATGATGTATTATTAACACCAATGTTTTAATTTTGAACATTGATATTTCAAAAATTGATGTTTTGCTATCAATACCGCACCCCAGTGAGAGGTGTCTATGGTTTGGTTGGGTATCTATGAACTCTGAAAAAATTCAAAATCAACGATACAGTTTTGATTTTAACTCAAAAAATGCAAATGTTTTATAGTATTATTCCACTTACTCTCATTCTACATGTATGACTGAATTCTCATCCCTATTGTGTCATTTCTTATGATCCAGCTGACGTCATGAGACAGTTGCTATTCATATTTTACATTATGGAGCATCGACCTTTTTTGTACTCTTAGTATGGAAAGGTTGTACTGAACATGTATTATGCTATGTAAAGGCAATATTCATGAAGACTGGTTTTGGTAGAATATTTCACTTATTGCTGCGTTATGTAAGCATTTTATTCGTTGTTCCTGAGCAGAATGCAAGCTAAATATTGAAAAACCTTTTTGTGTGGTTTTGTTACAATGTGACAAAAACCTGGATAAACGACTTACACGAAACTCAGCATGGTCTGTAGAATGATTACAAACAATCCATATGTCATGACCATCTCTGTCCTTATCATCTGGTACCTTCCTCATGTGTGACCAGAACAATGCATCACGTTGGGATGCAGGCCATATTCGTTTATGCACTTGCAAAAACACCAGTGTGTCATCAGCTACAGTCTCCAATATAGTCATTTGTTCCAAAGTAGCTGCACAAAAAGAGAGAGAAAAACTTTTATGGATATCGCCTGATGAACTGTTTGCACCATATCATGAGAAGAATGATTTCTTGTAACCAACTGGAACTATTTGAAGAAAATTCTTAAGAATTAAACGTTCTATATTTAAATAAATTAGCACAAAATTCTCAGCTAAAATCATTGCTGCAGAGGAATTCAAATTAAATAAATACATCTTTCTAATATTATGATTGGTTTCTGCACGACTTTTCTATCTTTCAATGCAACGCCTCCCTTTATATTAGAGGTGTCCAACTCGCAAGGCTTCAAGGGCCACACATAAAATCTTCATTTTGGTTGCGGGCCATATTTTCATTTCTCTGGGGTTTCATACCTGACTTCCCCGTATCGTTGACCGTATTGTGGAACCATGCCAAATATCAGGTCGTACAATCCACACTGCAGTGAAACACACTGCAACGATTTTGAATTTATGAATTTACTAGAAAAAAAAAAACAACTTCAAATCTAAACTTAACCTATTTTTATATTAAAGGGGGGTGTTGACCCCAGGAGGGGAGCAACAAAGTTCTCACTCAACATGGGCGCAAAGGACTTTAACTTTGGTTTATTAACCTTTTTTGGGCCACAATAAACAACACTATTTGCCCCCAGTTAGACATTGGACAACCCTGCTCTCTATAGATAGCACCCAGTAGTGACTTCCTCTTCCTATTTTCTTACAACTAATGCAATTAGAAGTTATCATAGAACTACATTTCAAAACAGCACTTATTAACTGCATAACCCGAAGGTGCCAAAACCAGTTCATTTTCAATAAAGCCATACTGAAACATTTCTTGGTTGAGGAATGAGCAACTAACTGCACACTTGCAATGCAGCCAAAAGAAAACCAACTGGAGATGAAACTTACAACTTCAGTAAGTAAGCAATTGAGGAATTTGTACTTTTGAAAAAATTACTTGATTTTCAAATAATGTAAATCTATAAAACAATGTTTTGCTGAACTCTGGGGAGATTGAAAACAATTTAAAATGAACCTGTCATTAATACAACAAAGTTCAAATTTAACTCACTCACTCTCTCTCTCTGTCACTGCAAATGTAACCAATGAGCTTAGTCTCAGGGTTCCAAAATCATGACTAAGAATATAAATAGTCAAAGAGTTGCATTCTATAATTTTGTGGTTTGCAAGATAATCTTCTTCTTCTTCTCTCTCAAGCTATAAGACAGATTTGTTCGAATTAACTCATTAATCAATCTATCTTTTTTTTTTGGGGGGGGGGCAACAAAAGTTCTTTTTCCTGTCAATGGCCAATGTAGTACTTGCTTTAGAATGAAATCATCATTCTTTATTATTACATGTTCTTCCCGCTTCTTTCCACATTCTTTGATCTTATTAAGTTATAGATTTCAAGGGTTATCATAGCTCTTCAGGAAGAATCCTCCCCAACTTTACCTCTGAGCTTGTTTAATAAAGCATCAGATTGAATTTTTCATTCTTCTTGCCCACATCCACCTTACCGTAATAAGATACGTCACATCCTAGGAATCGGAAGGTATTATTCTATATTCCTAAATGAGTTTATATCTTGGAGAACTTGGAATGCCATTGATTTGGTTTAACCTGTGGATATTTTAAATGATACAACTTTCATATACCACATATTACAACTTTTTAAAAGTATTGGTGACCTACAGTGCCCTTGTCTAATACCTTGATTTGTAGTTTCTTATAGGATACCCCAAATTTGCATCAATTGTTAACCTGCATACATATTTTAAAAAGATCTAATTAGGTGAAGCGGTATTCCTTTTTTCTCCATAACATTTCATGATTTACTTCTATCAGAGAGGGAAAATCCAGATTTTTTTAAAGTATCATTGGTGTGTGTGTGCACGCGCGCGTGTGCTTTTGGTGAGTGTGTGTGTGCGCTTTTGGTGTGAGTGTGTGTGAGTGTGTGCGCGCTCTTGGTGTGAGTGTGCGCTTTTGGTGTGTGTGTGTGCGCTTTTGGTGTGTGTGTGCGCTTTTGGTGTGTGTGTGCGCTTTTGGTGTGCGTGTGCGCGTGCGCGTGTGCTTTTGGTGCGCGCGCACGCGTGTGCTTTTGGTGTGTGCGCATATGCACCATAAGTTTGGTGTTACTTGATACACAATGGAATAAAGAACGTTGAGTTCCATAGAGGCAACAGGAAGCACAAGACTGACACAGCCTAGCGATATCTGTAGTGCTACACGGAAAACGATCAGTTTCATCAGTCGCTGGCTTCTTCCTGCTGCCCAAAGCATCTCATATGTTATTAGGTGAGAAAAGAGCCTCCAGAGTGTAGAAAGGAGTTCCAACAGTGCAAGAGGCATAGAAGTGTGCAAAGAGTGCATTACGATACTTAAGACACTGAAGACCATGCAGAATCAAGTATGGAGAGAGCATGAACTCTGGAGAAGAATCTAGAGAAATTACTAATAAAAAATGTACCTAGCAAACAATTGAAAATAATTGATATTTTTAAGAACAAATTATTGAAATAATTGTTCGTGCTCTGAATAGACTTTGCTGTCCCTTAATATTAATAAAATCAATTGTTATAGAAGAGTTCTATTTATTTTTGACATCATCAGATATAGTGAACCAAACAAGTTAGTCCTCAGAACTTCACTATAATCGGAGTCAACTGTACATTGCAATGCCATTCTGCTATCCACGCAATAGTTACCCATCTATTTTTATTCAGACCTTAATTTCATAGAATTATTACTTTATACTTACTTTCCCACTCCATTCTAACATCAGGTGAGAAGAAATAATGGCACATTTCATGACCCGTAACACCTTTCACCACATGGCATGCCTTCAGAGGATCAATGACAAGACCTTCGGACTCCTCTTCACGGCGGTACATTTTCATTTCTCCTTCTTCAGCAAACAACTGCCAACCACCTTCTCCAACACCCAATCTTGCATAGTGCAACTGTTCCATTGTAATACGATCAATCTGTAAAAATATAATTATTTGATTTTTTTATTGTCTCTTATTAATGGAAGAGTCAATCAACTTTTATAAGATAGCAGTTAAGTCATGCCATACTTAATCATATTATTTAAAGCATGAATAAACTGCACTCCATTCTTAAAGGAATAGAAATATAGTGCTTTGGCTACCAAAGTTGTCCCAAAAAGGCAGAGCAAGAAAAGAAGGCAAGCTAAAACTAGCAAAGAAATTTTTTTCAGGAAGGTGCTTACCATCATATTCCTCCAAGCTGCTCAAAATTCTATTTTGGTGTATCAAACCTCACAAGCTTCAAAATACCACTCTGGCCATGAGCATAAGATTGCATTGGATCTAAAAGCACCCTTACTGGCACAGCACCAGTTTCAAGACACGGACAACACAATAATCAAGAGTCAAAGGGTCTTTACACGGTTGTGACATTAATTCCCAATGCACACAAATTGAAAAAAACAGCAGCATCTAGCCACATGAGAGGTGTTAATGGTTCTGTTAGATACCCAGGAAATACAGTAAGTATGAAACCGTATATTTTGATTGAACAATGTAAATATTTTATAACAATATTCTGCCTTTTCTCATACTGCATGTAGCGACTGAATTCTATATTCAGTGCATTACTGCTTATGACAGCTGACATCGTGATGACACCGCAAGGCTCCTAGGCAGAGGATGCATGCCAATTACCTACTACATGCTTTTCACATGTTATAGAACACTAACCCTTTTGATATTCTTGCTGTACCACATTCTATACTATACCACTATATTGGCCTCTGTGTTTCATTAAAATATTAATTAATTGCAGGATAAAACTCGATTATTTTATTTGTTCTTGAGCGGTCTGCACGCTACTTTCTGGAAACAATTTCATAATTCTTTCTTCAGCAATTTTGTTACTGCAGACCACTAGTGATATACAAATGTAAATTCATATTCAAACCTACATAACAGTAAAGAAAGGAAAGTTGCAAGGCTAAATCATTCTTAACAAAAATAAAAGTTGGGGATTCTACATTAACAGTGAGATTCATTTTGTTTAAAAACAACTACTATATCACTCTCATTTCCAGAATGCATCACACGTGCATCTTGACACCAAGGAAAACAAACTTAATTTTGATGCTCCATAAAGGTGAGAGATGTGAGAATTTCAAATGGACTAATATTATTATAGCTAATTTTTCAGAATCTTTACCAACTACCTCTATGTCCTGTTAGATAATATTGTAGCATACTGAATAGGATACCGTTTCATAATTCACAAATTATACTTTTCATAAATACATGCACAGTAACACTTTAATGAAATTTTTAGTGGATTAAGAAAGCCTCATATTTAAGAAATAAAAATCAATAATTATCCCTAAACTAGACTAGGGCAATTGTTTTGATGAAAAGAACAAATTTGTACATTACCATATTCAGTCAATTACACACTTCTGTAAATCTGTAAAAAGGATGTTAGTTAAGCAATAACATTAAAAAATCTATTACCAACAAGTGGTGCTACAGAGTGGCACAGACTTTCCCATTTTAGTTTTCTATTTCCCTTCGTCTCAGTGAGCTATTTGAACTTGCCTTCCCTGCTGCCATCCATCGCCGCCCAAAGTACATTTTTTTAAAAATTTTCTTCTTTTTTCAATTTGAGAACGGAAATATTATTTTTGATAATATTAAGAACAGTAAAACCTGGTCCTTGATGGCAATTTTCTTTGAAAAATTTCGAGTAGTTTTCTAAGGAAATGGAGCTACAGTAAATTCGAAATTTAAAGCTCTTCAACAGAAAAATTATGAGTTTTCAGAAAACTTCATTTCAAGTCATTTGAGAAATGCACATTAACTCACAAATACAAGAGAGTTTACAAACTGCTGAAAATGCACATATTACTGGTGTGGGACGACTTTCAAAGAAATTATATTTGGGCATTTCTTTTAAAAACAAAAAAATACCTCAAAATGAACTTTATGTCATATTAAAGAGTGCAATTGGCACTATCATTTTGATAAATTTGAAAAATGGACAGGAGCTTCTACAATTTGGAAAAAATCCTTTGCATGGTTTAGGCACTAGTGTTTTTTACATACATCAGACAGACGGACAGAGATGAATGTTTTTAAAAAAAATAAAAACACTTTTTCGGTATCATGGGACCCCAAAACGTGTATTTCTGTTGAAATCGAATTTCGCAGCATTACATAACTTTCCACATACAACATATATTACTCTGTAAATACATATGTATACGGAAAAGTAAAAATGCAAGAAACAGGGGAGCATACACCTTTCCAATGATAAGACATTTTCTTTTTCAAAGAAATTAATATGGGCAAAGATAATCGCAAAAAGTTAGTATGATAGAAACATAAAAATTATTTTAAAAACAAACGTTTGTTTGCGTGAAGTTTAATATCAAGTTTCTAATATCTTTAAAAAAAATATAAAATAGAAGTTACAAGTAACAAAACCTGTCAATGTTTGACAGTACACAAATACTAACGCATGTGAATTAAAAACCCTGGAAGTATAAGTGTACCTCACACATCTAGTGGCAAAACTTTAAACTATAAACTCAGATAACTATTATAAAAGTTTTCCATTTTCTTTCTCACTCTTACACTTTGCAAGTAGAGTGAACAGAAAAAGTCAATGTCAGTGCTAGATTTCAGGCTCTGGACATAATTGAATTTCAAGGCCAAATTGAAAAATAGTTCTACAAAATAATATATTTTCTTCTTCTTCTTTCACTACAATTATTTTACAACCTAACATTCAATATTAATAGAAATATCTGTCAAAAATGGAACCACGTATTTAATTAAAATTTAATTCCACCTCCAAATCATATAACAAAAATTTGGTTTTAATAACCTTAATTTTGCTTCATAACTTAAAAATTCTAAGATTAAAATCAAAACATTGTAATGAAGAAGCCGACTAATATACAATGAATGAAAAAATCCATGCAAATTTTAACAAATATGGTGTCTTCATCTCTGATCAGTCTTTATGCTGGTGTACAACATTAATACCATTACTTAACAAGTTAAAGTAATCTACTTTAATAAATTGCTATTCCACTCTGAATTGTAAAGCTAAATCACTTGAAATGCCATGTAACTTAATATACTAGTGACCTATAGCAGCAAACATGCTGTTGAGCAACAGCATACAAAATTATTTTCGAAAAGAAGCATGCACACTCAAGACCAACAAATAAAATACTCTTGCGTAACATTGCAATAAATTAAATATTTTAACAAAAATAGTCTTCAAGAACACTGAAATAATTAACTAGAGTTCGAATAGCAAAAAATTAATGGCAAGAAGCTTCTTCCAGCTTCTTTCTTCTTATGTCAGCTGTGTTACAAGCAGTTACACACTGAGTATGCCTATTCAGTTGACATGTGCAGTATGAGAATGTGAGGAGCACCAAAATCAAATATTTGCATCTAAAGAAACTGTAGTCACCTCCCAAAAGCCTTGAAGCAGAAGATTTCTTTCAAATTCTGCTTGCATTAAAAAAAAAAGTTATATTTATCACACATTTTTCATTTTATGCAGTGATAACTAGAGAATTCACTACAGGTTCAAAATTGAATGCAACCATTAAGCAATAATGAAATACTTCACTGCAACTTTTAAAAAAAGGTTAAAGTGATTTTATATTTCATAATTAATATTATTATTTTTTTATTATTGCTGTTGTGCTGAAGGGGAACGGGGGAAGAAGAATGAATTTTTAGGCCCAGTCTCTGTATTCCTAGCAAAGGCACCATCACTAACAAAACCTCTAAGACCTTCCCACAATTCAGATCCTGCTTTCTTATGGTGGAAAATTTTTTGAAAATTTCTCAACAAATAAAACATGAGTTACTTTTGGCAGAACTAATTTTTTAAAGGAATAATATTTAGTTATATTAGTCTTGCAATTTTCCCTGACTTAACTACTTTTCTACAAATTCCCCGATTTTTCAATTCTCTCCTTTTCTATAATGCCTTTTAGTTTTGTTAGGTTTCTTAAGTTTTAAAAATCTACTAATGATCAACCTCTGGTAGAGTGCCTCCAAATCCAATATGCAGTTGTTTACTAAGAGTTCTCTTTGTTTAACACATTGCTGGCAATCCATGCAAATAATTTTCTTTCAAAATAATGGACCTTAGAATTCATTAGGAATAGGATTTGTTGTGCATCAGTTTAGAGATGTTTGTTTCTCACTGTTTCTTTGTTGAAGAAAAGAAGTTTGTGAGACTTGAAACTTTTATAGAATACATCTTTCAGTATGTTGTGTACACTTTCATATGACCACTGCCGATGCACATCTGCTTATTGCAGCATCCTTAATTAATCCTCTTGTTTCATTCAATACCTTCAAATTTTCATTTCATGTCTCTCATAGTTCACCATGGTTAGTAGGCTTAGCATCATGATACAACCAGTTTGATTTTACACATTGAAGTTCATAATGGCATAGTTCACTTTTGGACAGTTGAAAGACTAGTACTCTCAAAATTTAAACAAATAATAGTACCGAGTGTAGTATAATACTATCAGAGATTCTAATAATCTTCATTTTGTTTTCAAATATTAAATTTCAGACACTCCATTTTTTTTGACAACTCAAATATAATTCTAGAGAAGCAAGAACACAGCAATTTAACAGTTTGCATGCTCAAAAATATCTTGAGTGATAGACTAAGTATAATGGCAAAATATGTTACATGATGAAATATTTACTGCCACGAGCCCTCAGGTCCCAGTGAATAAAAATCTTCATACTTTCACAACTCTCTGGAAAACATGTTGACACATCTAGATGCTTCCTTACTATAGGAACCTCCCACAATGATTTTGGCAAATTTCTCTGATGATATGCAAACAGAATGCACCAATACATTAGTACACCAATACCACCCACCCGGCTATCTTCAAGGCATTGCCTTGGTAACATGCCATGTCATTAAAAACCATGAGCTTCACCACCATGCCAGCACTAGAGTTCGAAGGCATGGTAAATGGCTGATGTCATCAGTGGTGCACTTCAACATCTCCCTCCCTCCCCTAGCTTCCATGCCTGCCTTCTGTTGTTTGATGTGGTGCACACAATGCAATATGAGCAGTTAAATTATAATTACTCTGCAGTTGTATTTACTTTCCTTTCATACTAGCACCTTCCAGTTACTCAACTACCTCAATGAGAACGCCTATCCTATGTTAATTACACTTCGCAACAGCATTTGCATAACGAGGGACATCATATTTGGTGGCATTTTACCATTATACTTACGTCTCATCACAACTGATGGAATAGAAATATTTACTAAAGACACTAAACAAAAGCATGTCCATATAGAACATTCATGTCAATTGATTTGCATAGGAGAGCACTCAGCTCAAAACAAAACCCTTTCAATACATCTATATACAAGCACAACACAATTGTAATTTTCAGTCTGTTTTAATATTAAATAATTTCAGTACAGTTCTGTATGAACATTTCAATGACAAAATGGGTGAATTGAATATTCAAGTTGATTTGATGAGAACACAGATGAGATTTTTATTTCAGTTCAGTTACTCTAAGAACAGTAATCTTTGATTTATGAAAGTTAATGCCACTTTTATTTTATTAATCATCAAATATGAATATTTTATACTCGCCTCTGGCCACAATTTATGTTGAGTAGCCTTTGACAGAGGAGCTTTAACACTTTGTTTACTCTTCATTCGTTCACGGAATTCTACATCCTCTTCTATCTTGTCCAGTCCAGTCTCTACAGCATCATAGAATTCCTCTTCATTCAAAGTACTGTGTGGCCCTTCCTAAAGAAACATGAACATAACAAAAAATATATGTGAGAGGCAAGCACAATAGTTCATGCAGGGAACATTTAGATCCCCAGAGATACAAACTTCTGTACAAATTTTTAAGAAATAAATGGACTTTTTAAGAAATAAATGGACATTTTAAGTATTTGTTTATGATTTTAACTTAAACAAGATAAAAAGAATAAGGAGGTCTGTTAATAAAAAATTTAATAAGAATAATATATTTAATAAATATAAAATTATATATATTTGTAACATTTAAAAACTGTCCAAGATGAAAAAATTACAAAACTTGGAATTACATAAAAATCAAAAACAAAAAACGGAAAATCAAGTTAAAATTAAAGCAACACAAAGAAACAGGACATGGAAAGCATTGGTAGTTTAAATCAAACAACAAACTGCTTTGCTAAATATAAAGAATTGTATTTGTAGGTCATTTTTTGATTGAAGTGCCAGATACCTTTACACCAGACTTGAAGATTAGAATACAGAAAAATATTCTTTTCATGTAACCTTTGACAGGTTGTCACACACAATGTAGGCTTTTGCTAGATAAAAATAATGAATTACCAAACAATCTAACACAAATTCAGCATCAAAATTCATTCCAAAATAGGTAATTCATTTAATTTAGTTTCTGGAAGTTACATGTTGTACTCTTGTAACCAGTTGGGTAATGTTGTATAATTTTATTCATATTGCAATGTGAATTTATTGATTTTTTATAATATTTATAATAAATGAATAATAAAAGAATGAAACCTTGGAGGTCTCTAGATATTTTATGATACCTCGTACTAAAATATCTTTTGGTTGAAAATAAGCACCAATCCAACAAACACACATTTATTCTCTTACAAATGAACATACATAAACCTCTATTAACACAATTTTCAAAATGATTTTTCCTATCAATAATGAATGAAATTTCTCAAAAAAAAGAATCCAGAAGAACTGTCCAATGTAACACGTAAACGAATACAAACCTCAAAGTCAGGGCTGCTGTGTACAACTACTCGTGTACTAGCAGCTTCCTGCTTAGCTTGTCTGTACAATTCCTCAACTTTTCTTCTCCTCTCCATTTCCTTTTCCATTCGACGTCTCCACATATCTTCTCGTTGACCTACTACTTCTAGACAATGTTGCAATGTTGCAATTATTCCAGCAGTAGTTGCTTTGAATGTCAACGCTTCTCCTTTGAAATCTATAGCATGATCACCATGTCGAAGGATTAAATCCTTTGAAATTGAAGATTCCAAAGATGCAGATAGATCTGTACAAAATATGGGACAAAGATCAGAAAAAAGTACCTTCAGCGTGTAACTGATATGTTACAAATCGACAAAATTAATCGTCGGGGGAAAACAAATTAAGATTGTTCTGTTGTGTTTCCAATACTTTTCTCCCTTGTACTACTGTTTAGGGAGGTAAAGTAGAAAATAAGTATCATGAACTTTTTCTCAATAATCACCCGTTTGAAAATAAGTCCAGCCAAAAAGCCACAACACCATATGTTCTTAAACATTAGATTATCACAATTTTTTTTTCTGACAAATTCAATGCATTTATAATTAGCTAGAATTTGTAATACTGAAAGTAAACAACATGTTGAAGTAAACCTTCACATTTTAATTACCTTTTGTGAAGTTATTATGAAATTCTTCAACTGAATTTTCATGAAGATCTTTGAGGATTTCACTACTTGCATCATCAGATCCTATAAAATGTTCAACGGTTAGATAATATTAACATAACTAACAAGAAAATGTAATAAAATTCAACAAATTATTACCTTTAGATGATTTCAAGGAGGATGATATCTCTGCACAAGCATCAAAATATTTCTGGAGGGTCTCAATTTGTTGACACAAAATGTCCCTGAAAGTTTCCATTTCAGCAAGTTTTTCTTTAAGACCTGAAATACAATATTAAACAAATTACAAGCTTTAATTTTAAAGGCTTACAAGCTTAATGAATATTTAAAGGTGACAATGACAAACACACACCTCGTCCTTTCTTAAAACTGGATGTTGATGCTGTTGAAAGTGTATTCGATGTAAGAGATATAGCACTTCCATGGCGTTTCAGATTATTTTCACTCCCGTAGCCTGATTCTGCCTATTGTTACAAAAACAGATGTATGAAAATTGAAAAATACAAATAATTACTAACTGTGATGTGCAGTTAACTCTTTGTCTAGAATAAATACACAAATACCTTGTAGGTTTCAAGCACATCAACCCACTGTTGTTTATCTTCTGGTGTATCAGCACGCAGGTACCACACACAATCATTCACGGAGACATCAAAACGACACTCGTCAAACTCGTGTGGCTAAATGGAGAAGTTTAATTACAAACATAATATTTCTGAGGATATGATTAAACTTACAACTGATGATGTCTGTAAGAGCACCATGGGGAAAAAGCCTTCTAACCTTAATAGTAGCTTTAAATAGGCTAATTGCGCCTCTGCATCCAAATCCAGTATCCTGTTCCGATTTATAGTACGAGAGTGTTCCATCCTTCAACACTATAAACCGACTCTGCCAACCGTGAATGTAGTTAGTCCACTTGCTAAGAACTCCTTGCATTTCAGGAGTCTGATACCCATTTTCAGAATCGTCGTCATCATCACTAAAGAGTACACTGTGCTCCTCTGTCATTTTAAGAATTGAGTTATGAACTACAAATACACACTGAAAACGTTCTCATGTACATCTTCCTACTGCTCTCACTGCACTTTCAATTTAGTCTGCTGATTCACAACAACCCATGACAGGCGTCCATATTGTCACAAGTGTCGTGACGTAATACACTGAGCATGCGTAGTAGAGCAGCGCCAGATTGTGAACTGAGAATGAGCTCAACACCACCTCTCCCGACGCGCATAAAACAAAGAGTTTTACAAAATGTGATAATCACTTAGCTGATAAGATAAAGAAAAATTATCAGACAAAGCCAAACATTCGTGATTCACTTTGGGTTGATCGAAAGTCACCAACCTACGAGGTTTACGTGTGGCCTTCAGATGCCATTCGTATGAACTCACCTCGATTACGCGAGGCAGAAATTGTTGGTTGTGCATCGTGAATTAACCACGCTCGGAAAACAAAGGCTTTGCAACTTCCTTATCTGTTTTTATTTCCTCTCTATGGTATTGACTATACACAAAATATATTGGAAAAATCAACAACACAAATCATTTTATAAAGTCAACATTGTTTTAAATAGCACTTTTATCAAATAAATTAACAACCTCAAAATTGACAATTCTATATAATGCTGATTAAATTGCAAAAACACGTATTTGAAAAATTCTCTTCTAAATGACTGTATTAACACTAGCTACACACACCGAAACGACACTTCCATTCCTTGAGTCACGAACGCTAAAGAACGTAATCGGATATGCAAAATCTCGCTGGCGTGGTGTGGTCTGGTCTGCGCGGCGCAGGGGCGGGGGCGGCTAAATCCCGCATGCGTCACGTGGTGTTGGCGGCGGCGGAGGTGGCGGCAGGAGTTCCACAGCCGCCGGAACCAGACCGCTAACTCAAGGCCTGCTGCGCGGCGCGACCCAGTTATCGAGCGGAGAGGCCCACACAACGCCCGAAGCCCGACGCCAGCCCTATCCCGACCCGTTCCGGCCCGTCCCGACCCGGCACGTCCCGACCCCTCGGCCGTCTAAAGCTGGTTGCTCCCGAAAACCAAACACAAACCGTATTCAAAATTAAAGGCTTATTTTAGGCTAAATATTTGCCGTATTCCTGAAGTTAAAGATTTTTTATTTTCCAAAATCGTGGATGTTGCTAGCTGTAGTCTAAAGATAGACACATCTAGAAAATACAACTTAGCATTATTTGAACTAACCTACATGATGGAGGCGGATTAACAGTTTTGCCGCCCATAGGCGCATAAATACTTGTAATGCCGTCCTAGCACAATTACTCGTTTCCATCTTTTGCATACTTTAAATAAAAAGAACACGATTTATAATAAAATAGTAGCATTTATTCAACGATGATTACAGTCTGAGAACCTTTATCAAGATAATCCTTTTTACGTGCTTTTTGTACAGCGAATTCATTATCTATATTCGAGCGATATTTATTATTCGAACAATTCGAAGAATGAATATAAGATTGTTGATTATATGGATATTTTAGGATATCTGAACTCCTGCACCATGAATAATTTATCCCGCATAGTCACGGCGAACATAAAGACAGTGTAAAATTCAGAGATTAGTCCCCGTGCATAAGCGACTGAGATAGAATCGTGTATTCTGTATCAGTCGCTTAATGCGCAACTTGTGGATGTGCAGTTTGTGCAAAATGTAGCGCGGCAAATATAAACATAAATTTAATCAGTAACAACAACAATATTTGGGAATTTCTATTTTGAAATATTCTTTATAAACCAACATCACAACAAATCAACATCACAATGATTTTTAAAAAATAACCACAATAATTAAATATAAATAAATGACTAATGTATAAGTTTGTTGTAAAATAATGTTTCTTAAATTTTTATAATAATAATACTTATTTATTATTATTATTATTATTATTATTATTATTATTATTATTGTTCTTATGTGATTCTGTCTCTGGTTAAAATCTCAGGATTGAAATAACTGTATGGGCTTTTGCCAAGTAACGTACTTTTCGGTGTCGAGGTAGGATTATATGTATTAGGCATGATTATACTGTTGTTGAGGTACTTTCTGAGTATTGGGCATGTGTTGAGGATGACAACTTTCTGTAATTCGATGTACAATGTTTTCGCAATTTTTAACTGATGTAGACCGTTATGCAAAGTTACTGGGATGACACCAGTGGCGGACACAATGTTGGGTATCATATAAACGTTCTCCATTTTCCACTGTTATTTTATTTCCTTTGCTAAATCAGTGTACTTGGAAACTTTTTCTGTGTGGGAAGACTGAAGGTTGTGTGTGTGTGTGTGTGTGTGTGTGTGTGTGTGTGTGTGTGTGTGTGTGTTTGGGATAGCGATATCTATCGAAGAAAGTGATTTTGTTGATTTTATCAACTAGCGTAATGTCTGGACTGTTGTGTGCTATCGTCTTGTCTGTAATTATGGTTCTGTCCTAATATAGCTTGCAAACAGGATTTTCCATCACAGGTGTTCGTGTGTACTTGTATGGTTGCTTGTTTTCCAGCAGCTTTCTGTTTATTGCAATCCTTTGGTGAAAAATTTTGGCTACCTGATCATGTCTGTATTCAATACTTTCAATCAGTTTGGGCTATGGTTTTGCAGCCGGATGTGATATGCTGAATTATTTCGCTGGACAGATGACACCTTCTATACAAATAATTTGCTATCATGAATCTCTCGGTTTCGGCAAACAGATCGCTACGGGAAAGCCAGGCTATCGACGCTTCCAAATCGACATGAGACTGTTCCAGATCATGGCGATGTCCCCCATGGAGTATTTTGTGTTTCCATGACTGGTATTTGTCAGATGGTCTAGTTGCAAAACTATTATTTAACAGTTATTTTAATTATAATTATAATTATAATTATTACTATTCAATAAAAGAATCTGTGTGATTAGAAAGTCATATATCTGAAGAAACCCGCGTGGCCAGGGTATTTATCGCAACCATTTTTTATTAAACAGAAAGAGGAATTTTCATAAATTCCCGCCCTATGGCGGAGCCTACTTCTATCTATTCTATTGTATATCCCCTCCGCCCTACCCAGCCTCTCTCTGCCTTGCTCCAATCTGGAAATACCCGGTCTTCGTACTCACTAAAACACGTACGCACTAAAAAAATATTTAAGTTTTATTCCTATGGGGTTACCGACGCCAAACTTCTTTCACATTTTCACTGAAAATAATAAGCAAATCTATACGAAAAACAAAATTCTTGTACTCACGTATATTCTTTTTGTGTATTTTTATACATTATACCAATACTTTCAATCATTTGCCACATTATAAAACTTTCTCTTTTTCATTTTTGTTTTTCTTCTGGCGTATTTATAAAGAAAAGTTCGAAATTGATCTTATCGCTTCAATCGATATTTGAAAATAATTTAATTAATTTAAATTGAATTTGAGTATGTGTTTTAGGAACCTTGATAAATAGTGGATGGTGAAAAAGGGGTCATTAACCACGTAGAGAATTATAATGTCTCTGAATATCCGAGATCACAGTGGATCTCGGCTTGAGAAAGCTTTTTCTATTATCTAAAATACGGATCAACCTTTAAAACCAGGCTTGTCACACATTCAATTCCTCCAAATACCCATTTACTTTAACTATACGGCCGTTTTACTGCAATTTTAGTCTCATCAATTTAGTCATTCCTTCAACATCCAAAGGTACACTTTCATTTTTCACACTTCGCTACAAAAATGCACCCATCCGTCTGTTTCAGCACAACACGAAAATCATAATGTTTTCGCTCGTATTGGTGCTCGCCGAACTTGCAAATACATAACATGCGTAATTTACTACAACTAAGCATGTGTGCATTCATACCTTTTGATGACAATATTAACCGCATCCATCAGAAAATGATATCTTCCAACCGTTTCGTCTCTTGTTCACTTAATGCACTCACGCCTACACGCAATTAACATCAATATCCATGTTATTTTTATAAATAAAGTGAAGAAAAAATCAGAATTAGTTCGTATTAAACAATTGACGGAAGAAGTAAAGAGTCCTCTAAACACGCAATTTTGTGCATTGATGAAATCAGTAGTAGATATCTTAGACGTTATTCTGATGGCGCGCAGGTAAACTATTGTTGCACTCTTGAATCTGTGATGCAAAACTAGATGCAAAATGTCCAGAAATGTAATAATTTTGTGAATATATTAATGTGTATGCTTTTAAATCATAGCCTATGGAACTCCAAAGCTTTAAGGGAAGCTATCACAAAAGTTTCATCGGTTTTGGTTCAGTAGTTTCAGAGATTATCGCGCTTTAAGTCGCGTTCAGACTTTAATTTTAGATGCATTTTTGTTAATTGCCAATACTGCGAAGTTATAATTTTTAGGTGGGCGCTGCTAGGTCAGACTAAAGCTAGTTCCTTTTAACTGCCCACATTACAAATCGAAATTTACGGTTCATTTAATTTCCTCCAAATTTGAATGTCTTTTTTTCAAAGTGCAGATAAAAACTTAATAATTACATTTTACAGAAAAATATATAGGCCTACATTACATGTTTATCACAATTTAATTTTCACATTGAATTGTTGTATGTAAATTCCATATTAAATGAATATTCCATCTTATCGAAAAATTACAGAAGGGGAGGCCATCTGGCATGTCATTGAAAAGTTCAGTGAGAGATAGATATTATCCACTTTAAAGAATAAGAATGGAAGATCAAAGTGGCGATCTGTGAGCAACAAGCTTTTCATTCAGTATTGTATGTTTCTATTAATCATCAGATAATATTCCACTTATATTCTGTTGACCCCCCATGGTTTATTTCATGTCACCGCCAATCTTTAAATAAGCGGTTATCTTTAAACTACGTTGGCAATACTGATGCTGAATATTCACGGCCCCCTTCAATCCAATCACTTGTGTAGAACAAAATAGTCTTAAAACAAACTACAGCAACGTAAAATTTCTTAATCTATAAATGTGTCTAATGGCTGTCATGAACTTGAATCAAACGCTCTCTTAGAAATTTGTATTCAAGTTTCGTTTAATACTGAGAATGCCTTAATTACACAGAATACGAGTTGCTTGATTGATTGAGTAGCGATTCCGGGCTGACAACGGCTAATATCACTAGTCGCGTAAGTGCAGTGCAAGTTTGGTGACGCGTGAGGTGGCGGTGATGTTCCCCCCTGCACAGCGAGATCCAGCGCCGACCTACATTGGCTTGCGGGAGTAAGAGTACTTCCTAATCCCTTTTAGGCACGATTTAACATGAACTGCGACAAAACAGTTCATACATCAATTCATTAAGAACAAACGCTTCATAAATTTCTTAACTCGAAACTCGGTTTGGGAACTGAACAGTAGTGCTGAATAATTAGACATTTTAAGTTTTATTGTTATTTAAACCATATTTTCAAAGAACATACGCAACAGAATTGCTTTATTTCGACTTTCCAAATCTCATTTTATTCGGACCGTCTTGCAGAGGAAGAATTTTGCAAAGAAACTCAACACGAAAGAAAGGAAACAAGTTCAGAAATTACGCGTGGGATAGTAGGCAGTTTCTGTAGTTCCACTTGAGTTAACAGTCCGAGAGATTAATTACAGCTTTCCCATCGACAGACGGGCAGCGTAAATCAGAGGCAAAGCCAACAGCTTTCAAGAAGTACCAGCTTACGAGCACAGCACCGAGTCGGCATTTCTCCTCTGATATTTTAATGATCCGATCTGGAATCCTTGCTTGAGGCTCTCTCATCTCTTCAGTGCAATTAAACTCCCTTTCGCTTTCACAGGTGACGGACGAATTAGGCAGAGAAGGAGGCATATATCTCACAGAAGACTGACAATACGATTCTGTCAAACGTCGTCAATCTCCCATGTCATGATTGTTTGAAAATTCGAGTCTTGAATCAGTTGATGTCATTGCAGGATTTTCCACACTAACTACATAGCTATATGGAATTCTGCTGCAGT